AAAAAAAAAAAAAAAAGAAAGAAAGAAAACTTCCCTACCACAGTCCTTCTTTATCCCTTAAAGAACTGAAGGGTCAATTATTTTTCGATTTTTCTTAAAAAGGGAGATGCCACAATCAAACACACTGGAGCTAAACATTCCCTTTGGTTACGAGCTCCTTACTTTCTCCCTTGAGGAGCACTCCTCATTCGGGGCAAAGCTCCCAACTTACACTGTCATTAACTGGGACGAGTGCTGCGTAGTTAAGAGCCCTGAAAAGACAGTGCTGGGCTCAAGTTTCCATTCTAAGGCAATATGGAAACTGCGCTGCGCGTTATGGGGCCCTCTCCCCTTTCTCAAGGTACACTAAGTGCCACTGATTCGGAAGTCTTTATTCTGCTCAGCCAGCCATTTCCCAGACCCACTGTTTCTCACCCTGTGTCTCTCTTCAGGCCATTCTTGGCATTACAGCTGCAGAGCTCCAACCCCCACCGGAAGCATCCCAGCCTGAACCCACTTAGTGTGTCAGAGGCAGCAGATAGGAACAGATAGTGCCAGCGTGTGGCCTGGCGTTAACCATCACTTGGCCTCACGAAATCCCTCCCTAACCTCACAAAATTTCCTGTTTCCTGAGCTTCCCAGAACCATAGGGAGATTTAGGGGGCTAACCTTCCAAGTTTTTAGGAATGTGTTTGATATAGTTCCCTGGTGTCTTTTATTTTTTACTTTATTGAACCCAACCAGCTTCTCTTAATCTCCAGCTTTGCTCCCATCCATTATAAACACCCTTAAGCCAAGAACCACATTGTTTTCACAAGAAGCAAATTCCACTAGTATAACCTATGATACCTCCAGATTTGTAGTAAACGTTTTCCTGAAGTCTCTCTCAGATACTCAACTATGTAGACCCTTAGACTGCCCAGTTCAGAATTAAGGAAGGTGTGGAGAGATGACTCCTCCCAGCATCTGAGTGGCAGAAAATCTCCAGCTCTGTGTGTGGGGAGGCAGGGGGGGAAGGGAGGGAGTGTGTTAGGCTATGTCCACTGCATATGTGTGAGCTACAGGTCTGTGGAATCTTGGAGATTTTACAAGCCCAACTGCAGCTTGGGGAATAGGAGTCCAAATAGATAACAGACACAGGCACACAAAACAGGCACACCAGGCATGAAAGAGCATGGCACAGATGACTGATCAATGCCATGAAAATAAGTCCATTAAACTTGTCTGATTTTAGTATTGTGTGAGTTACTCTCTTTCACTCCAAAACATCCAGAACACGTCCTACTAAAACAGACCAAATTAAGCTCTGTTGCCCCCACAATTCTTTACCTAGAACGTGGCAGAGGCTGCACAGTCAGATCCCTAAACACCTATGAGGCAATTGTCTAGTTTACTAGTGGGAAGAGATCGTGGCCTTTTTCTTTCAAGAAAGTCAGATTCTTACTGTCCAATCTTCTTGCACTTTGTCCCCAGCACGGCCTGGCTTTCCTTCACCTGCTGCATGGCATCAGCTGTCACCACCTTCAACACCTACACCAAGATGGTGCTGGAGTTCAAGTGCAAGCACAGTAAGAGCTTCCGAGAGACCCCGAGCTGCCTGCCACACCACCACCAGTGTTTCCTTCAGCAGCTGTCGTGTGCCGCACGCCCAGCAGGCCCTGTGACCAGCTACCACCGCTACCACAATCAGCCCATCCGCTCAGTCTCCGAAGGAGTCGACTTCTACTCAGAGATACAGAACAAAGGGTTTCAGCAAGGCTCTGCCCAGGAGCTAGAAGAAATAGTTAGGCCATCCATAAAGGAAGAGCAGTGTTAGGAGTTAAGTGGTTTTGGAGAGCAGGCTACCTTACTTGTTACCAACACGTGCTTAAGCCAAAGTTTGTCTCCTGAGTGTGGTTTTTAGAGGCTACATGTGAGGGTTTCTTAAAGTACAATTCTAAAAGGGCATCCTTTCTCCTCACAGTTCTGGCTCCTTCCACCCATCCCAATCGCATGCACCCAGGATTCCCTGCTCTCCCGTACTGATCACTTCTGTGCCAGGTTTGGCAAAACGATGGGGATAAAAAGAGGAGTAAAATAGAGTGCCTGCCCTTAAGGGTCTCAGAAATCTGGTTTATCTGTCTGGAAACTGGAGAAATGGAATACGACACAGTCATGGTAGTCTGAGCGTGGTGCACCTGAATTCTTTTCTGGAAGGCACAGCCTGGAAAATAGAAGCACCCCTGAGTGCTCTGACACACACCACAGACATCCTCCACACTGCCTGTGACAATGTCCTGCATCCACATGGTAGGTACCCACTAGAAGTGTTACTAAATAGGATCCTAGGAGCTGTTGGTTAGGACGGTAGAGTAATATGAGAAGGCTCCTGCACCACACAGGGCAGGTTCACATCTAAAAATGGGCAGGTGAGGTTCCTCAGGTAGGAATGTGGGTCCCCAGTGGACAGTCGTACCAGGGACTCCCCCAGTGCACACAGCTAGGATACAGTCTCCTCTTTGGGTCCCCATCTTTTCATTCCTATTATTTCATCCATAAAGAATGCCACCCACTTGCCCTTTCTCTTTTCCATAAGGGAAAACAAGCCATTTTGATAGCTAAGAAGGAGAAAAGCACATAAGTATATTCTTGTACATCATAATTTATTTATTCTGTAACAGTTCACATTTTAAATAGAACTTCCTGACAACATACCAGGTGGCTCTTCTTTACAAAGGCAATAGGATAGCAATTCACATTCATAAGGGTTAGTATCACCACACCACACGTTTGGGGGACGGCAAGGATGTGGTCTAGGGTAGAAGGGAGGGTTTTTAAGGGAAGGAAAGAGACTGGGAGGAGGAGAAGACCCTTGCCTTTGCAGAAGTCCCCTTACTATTTCTAAGTAGTGGTCACACTGGCTTTGCTGGCAACCCTGGTTGGGCTTGAAGAAAGAAAGCGGCATTCCCTATCTTGGCTGTCTGGGTGGATGGCTGCCTGCAAAAGAAGGAAATTTAGAGACACATTTGACACACCAGCAACCACACTGGTCAGGTGAAGCTTGCTCAGTCTTCAGCCACAATTTAGACCCTTCCATACTGGCTACAGGAGGGAGAAGGGACCAAGAGCGATGTGTTTAGCAAAGCAATCCAAACTTACCACAGGCAAAAGAACCTATGTTAAGTTAGCTTGCAAACACATCAAGAAGAACTCAGGGACATTGTTTTTCTAGCTTCCCTTTTCTATCTGTGGCATTCACCATGCATAAACACAATCCTCTGCCAAGACAATCCCACCAAAACAGGTCCTCAGTAAATGACTTTGCATTTCACTCCTGTCTAGAGTGGCTGGCTTCCCAGAAAGCTTCAACACCGTAGAGTATCAGGTTATGCCTGGACAGCTCAGCCAGGCCATAGGACCAGCACCCAAATTTTGGGTGTCTGGTTGACTGTAAATTAATCCTTAGAATTCTACACTAAACCAAACTAGATCCTTAGGTCCTTATAACCAAGTCAATTCAAACCCTAGAAAAAAATCTGGAATCATTCCCATACTCTAGGGCAACTGTTCTCAACCTACAGGTCGCGACCCACAGGAACTGTATTAAAGGGCCATGGCATTAGGATGGTTGAGAACCACTGCTCTAGGGGGTATCTTGTAAATTGCCCACTCCCCCCCAAAGTCAAGCTGGACTCGCACACAACTTCCAAAGTGTTGAAACTAAATTAGCTCTCAGGGTCTTAAGGCAAAGGTACCCAGAAACCTAGTAAGGCCAATCTGCAGGCCAGATAATCTGCAGGCCAAACAGCACACCTGCTTGACACCTGCTGGGATCTACTGCTGCCAACCTCCTATTATGTCATAATGCCTGTCAGGGGGCAATTAGGAGATAGACCTTTAAATTTGGAATCCTCAGTTTTCCATAATCCTTTTATTAACACAAGCTAAACAGATACAAAAAAGCCCAAGTGAAGAGAGAACCTGAGTTACACTCAGGAATGACCTATCAAAATTATGCAAGAACAGCAGCAGTTCTCCGTCAGCTAACATAGGATTTTCTGCTCTATAAATAATGACTTAGAAGTTTAGAAGAGAACTTAATAGGAGCAACAGATTTATACAGGAGAAGAGGGAGATAATTCTTAAGAACTTAACCACTTACAAAAGTTACAGTATTTACATAAGAATTTTCCTCAAAATATAATGCTACAAAGGCTCTATAAGGAAGAATGAAGGGCAAAGTGGCTGCATATTGGACTCGAGCAGCAAAAGTCCAGAAACACATCCCTGAATAGAAGAAAAAGCAAGTGAGAGAAGGTAGGAGGTGCCCTAAAGAAAAAGATGCTAAGAAAGAGAAGCAAGGAAGCTGGGAAAGGCATCAGCCTCAGCGCGCCCTGACAAGCAGTTCTCTCAGTTAAGACAGCATGCACAGTACAGGTCTGCGTCTCTGCAGGAAAAAGGTTGCAACCGGTAGAACCATCAAAACCACACAGAACATGTAACATGGACTTGGTCGTCAGAGATGGGTCATCGAAACTCTATTTCTCTTGCTCCCGTTGTGATAGGAATATGGTTATTCTTGTGGCCACGTAATAGATGACAGATGAAAAGTCTGAAGAAACAAGATAGATGAAACTACTGGGATAGCTAATTCAGTCTTCCACTGCCAGTTTACAACTGGGAAGTAGCCAAAGCACAGAGGAGGAGAAGATATGGAGAAATGATGAGTGACCCTCAAAGTAGGGCCATCAAAGACCCTCAGAGGTAGGCCATCTGTAAGTCTCAAGATGACCAAAGAATCCAGATCGATTTCAAAAGGACAAGAAATGGGATCCCTGAAGCTTAGGATATACCTGAAAAACAACTTCACCACAACACTAAAAAATATACAAACAAATGCAAAACAAGAGGTTTCCTAGTTGTAGACATCACTGGATGCCCCAGTAGAGTTTATAAATTAGACATACAAAAAAAAAAAAAAACATACAACACTTATAAGATTCACACTTCCAAACTATCCATACAGTTCCTAGACAGCATTAATGCAGGGACTGAGAAGGTGGTAGGTATGACGCCCCAGCCGAACGGATCATGCTGTTATCGAAGGATTCCAAAGTGCTTTGCAACTTTGGGGCAAAATGAAGGTGAAGGTGGTAAAATGAGGTTGAAGTCTTCCTTCTCTCCAAAGAACGGATTTTACACTGACAGGGGAGAGAGGACATCCATTCTGTTTACTTCTCCTGAAACTGAAGATTCCACTGGACTAAATCTATGGAAAAAGGTGAAGTATAAGTGACTTTAATTTTTTTTGTCATGGTAGAGATTTTCAAGTAGAGCAAAACTAAAGGAGGTCAGACTATTCCTCTATTTTCCCATCCTTTTCTTTAGCCCCAACAGTTTACAAGGTCAAAGGTCCAGAGACTCTGTCCTTTGCCACGCTAAGTTCCTGAACCATGGATTAGACCATAGTATTTCCAGGGGTGGTGGGGACATCAGCATTTTGAGCAAGATAATTCTTCATAGTACGTAACTGCTACAAGCCCTGCATGACATTAGCATCACCAGCCCCAACCTAGGAAGTACTAGTATGTACCTCCCTCAGTCACTGGGATAAAAAAAAAATGTCCACTAAGGGCTGGGTGCAGCAGTGCACACCTGTAATCTGAGCATTCTGAGAGCCCAAGGCGGGTGGATAGCCTGAGCTCAGGAGTTCTAGACTAGTTTGAGCAAAGACCCCATCTCTACAAAAAACAAAAAAATCAGCTAGACATTGTGGCAGACACCTATAGTCCCAGCTACTTGGGAAGCTGAGGCAAGAGGACTGCTTAAGCCCACGAGTTTGAGGTTTCTGTAAGCTATGATGCCACAGCACTCTACCCAGGGTGACAGAATGAATCTGAAAAAAAAAAATTCCACTTTACGTTACTTAAAAAAATTATAAAATAAGTAAAAATGTCCACTAAGGGAGATGGTACTCTTTCCAGCTGAAAACAAAGAACTGAGAACCATTTCTTCATGGTCACAAAACACCTTCAGGAAATGTTGCAAAAGCAATGGGTTCTTGATACTTATCTACTCGGCAAAGCTCCCACTCTCCCTGCTCTATAAAGGGCAAAGCTGGAGTGGAAGTATTTGGCCCAAATCCTTAAGAGTAACCAAATATTGCAGAAGCTATTCACCTCACAGGGAGCATCAACAAACTTTATCCTAGAGAGGAATCTTCGCAACTCCCCACGGCCAATTTTGGGCGTGGTCTCCTGTAGCTGGGCCATCTGGCCCTCCATCAGTGCCCACCGCAGACTAAGCTTGCTGACCACCAGGGCTGTGGGATGGCCTTCAGAGCTTGGTCCTGTTGTCCTGGTAACATAAAAGGCATCTTTCCAGAGGTCGTTAATTCCAACTGGGAAGGACAAAAACAAGAGCAGTTAACAAGGACACGTGCCCTCTACCAAGGAGAGAGTGGTCTGACTCAGCAGCACACTCCATTTACTCACTAGTTCACACGGAAATGCAGCTAGGAAGGCAGGGACCGTGGGTGCAGAGAGGGAGGACTGGATGCCAGGAAAGCAGTACCTCCTTCCTGGTATTTGCACCTTTACTCCTCTGAAGCCATTTCCAAAAATGCTCCAACTCAGGAAATGAAAGAATGTGTTCACTATGGCAAGAATTCAGTAGTTAAGTGAACCCAACAAAGTGGGAAGCCTGAGAATTCCTAGACTGTCAGTCAGTGCAAGGTCACCTACACTATTTACCTTGCCAGTGTTCATTTTGTCTCATCTTTAAAACAGTAATTGTAATAGAAATGGTCTCGAGATACTTGTCATTATTTAATGTTCACTAGGTAATATTTTATACTAATATTAAAAAATAGCTCACCTAGAGTCAATCACAGGATTCTGCAAATAACATACCACCACCCACAACTCCACGCCCCAGCCAGTGGGCAGGTGCACCTGCTAGTTCTAGATGAGCTATTCTTTCCCAGAGAGCCACAAGCACTAGATGCAACGCAAGACAGTGAGTTTGTGAGCAGAAAGTCCCTAAGTGGCAAGAGAATGTGGAAAGAAATAAAGAGAGGACATGTAGCCAGTCTGGTCTCCCCCAGCAGATTAGGAGGCAAGAAAACTCTGAGGAGATCAGCAGACAATCCAGACCAGGGGTCCTCAAACTTTTAAACAGGGGGCCAGTTCACTGTCCCTCAGACCACTGGAGTGCCGGACTTCGGGCCCCGGGACAAGTTGGCTGCTAAGCAGGACAGGCAGCGATGGCAAAAACACCCAGTGGGCCAGATAAATGTCCTAGGTGGGCTGCATGTGGCCCGCGGGCTGTAGTTTGAGGACGCCTGATCCAGACTAACAGGCAGCAGAGGTTGAGTCCCCTCGGCCTAGGTTTCCTGAATTAAGCGTCTCCAATATCTGAGCCCATTTTGCTCGACAATTATTTAAACAGATAGATAAAGTACAGGAACATGTCCAAAATGTTCACAGTGGTTATGAGCAGTCAGATTATGGGCAATTTTTCTTTTCTGATTTTTCTCCTTTCTCTAATTTCTATGCAATGTGTATGTTTACTATTCAAAAAACCGTCTCCACTAAAAGCCCTAACAAAACATATGCTACTTCCATCATAGGCCACTGCGAATTCAAAATCCTAAGCTCCTGGCGGCACCTGTAGCTCAAGGAATAGGGCGCCGGTCCCAAATGCTAAGAGTGGTGGATTCAAACCCAGCCCTGGCCAAAAAACTACAAAAAAAAAAAAAATCCTAAGCTCCCAGAGGGTCAACAAACTAGCCTAATTTGTATTCCCAGCATGTGGTGCAGTGTTTGGGAGTTGATGATCAATAAATGTCTACTAGGTCAGGCCTGGTGGCTCACGCCTGTAATCCCAGCACTTTGGGAGGCTGAGGCAGGTGAATTGCTTGAGCTCAGGAGTTCAAGACCAACCCGAGCCAAAGCAAGACCCTGTCTCTAAAAATAGCTGGGCATTGTGGTGGGCACCTATAGTCCCAGCTACTCAGGAGGCTAAGGCAAGACAATCACTTAAGCCCAAGAGTTTGAGGTTGCTGTGAGCTATAATGCCATGGCAATCTACTAAGGGTGAAAAGTGAGACTCTGTCTCACAAAAATGAGAGAGAGAGCAAGAAAATAAATGTCTGGGCTCGGCACCTGTGGCTCAAGCGGCTAAGGCGCCAGCCACATACACCTAAGGTGGCGGGTTCGAATCCCCAGCCCGGACCCGCCAAACAACAATGATGGCTGCAACCAAAAAATGGCCGGGCGTTGTGGCGGGCGCCTGTGGTCCCAGCTACTTGGGAGGCGGAGGCAGGAGACTCGCTTGAGCCCAGGAGTTGGAGGTTGCTGTGAGCATGATGCCATGGCACTCTGCCCAGGGGGATAGCTTGAGGCTCCGTCTCAAAAAAGAAAATAAATGTCTGCTAAATGGCTGCATCAGCACCGTGGAGCCCTTCTGGAATGGGAATGCACGTTCCCCTCAGCTGCAGCACACACAAGAGCAGGTGGGTTCTCACCCTGAGAATCTGGTGCTGCCATCATGAAGGAGCATTCCAGCAGTGCCCCCTAGGCACAGGGCTGCCAGGGAAATGCTCCTGCTATAATTTGGAAAGTCTTTCACTAGGGCGGGGAGAGGACGGATAGTGGTCTCTTCACCTACAGCCAGCACACATTCTCTACCCATTTGAGTATACAGCCTCCCACCGGCACTAGACTCACCCTCTGCAGCTGTCACTGTGCCCGTGGTATTGGCCAGATCCAGAAGAATGGAGGGGAAGGTTGGATGCAGGAGGTACAGGTGGTGAAGGCTAGGTGGCTCAGTTCCTACGATGGTGGTATCCTGACAATAAGCCACAAAAAGGAAAAGCAAAAGTGACTCTACATTCCCACATGTGACAGTCCTCAGATGAAAGGCAGAGGAGAGACGCTGTTACCCATTCCCAACTCCAAGGACATACTTGCAAGAAACTCCCATATATAAGAGACATTATTTCAAAAAGCTCAAAATACAAACTAATCACTAACACCTTTAAACCACAATCTACAGCTAGAAAATACTTTCTCCTTTATAAGGAAAAAAAAAAAAAAAAGGAAATGTGCATGCCCCAAGAAAGGCATGTGATGTGGAGACTTCCCAGTCTCCTGCCCAGGGAAGTAATGGAATACTGGTCCATCCCTCACAGCAGATGGGGCTTTGTGGAGATAAAATCTATTTATGAAAACATAATAAGGCAAAGACATTTCCTTTCACTGGATAGCAAATCCAATTGTAAGCCATCAGGCTAAAAATTACAAAAATCGTATCAGTTTGTGAAATGAACAGAACGTTGACCAGATAGAAGCAAATCATCAATCAACAAATCAACAAAAATTCTAAGGCCTGAGTGTGTAAGTCTCCTAACGCTCTAGAGCAGAAGAAATGCACACCGGGACCATCTTCCTCAGCGTAACTTCTGCGCGGGGACGAGATCTGTTGTTTGGGCAGTACGTACGTACGTGTGCACCACACAGTTATACGTACGTGTGCACCACACAGTTATACGCACAGCAGCACTCCCATGTGGGTTAGTAAACAGCTGCTGCACTGAGCCCCCCACGTACGTCTCCTCCCCTCGGACCACCCTGGCCCTCCCTTGGGGAGGGGAATGGAATATTAGCTGCTTCCACATTCTCAGTGTGCGAAGCAGCAGGCCCCTAGGGGAGGAGCTCAGAAAGGACACTACAGCCTCACTGCTACTACATGGCCACAAAGCAGAAGAGGGCATTGTCCACATAGCCTTAGGGCCCCAGAGATGAAGGGACAGATGTCAGGCTCAGGTAACATGACAAGATAGCCACACACCTTCCTCACGGCCTACAGAATAAAGTCAAATTTCTTGGTATAAAAACCAAAGTCTTGAACTATTTAACCAAACTCTGCCTTTTTCAGACTTCACCTGCCCAAGTGATTTACCTACCCACCCATGCTATGCAAATGTCTGATTATCGATCACCCCAAATGCACGCTTTACTCTAACCACTGTCAGTCCTACCATTTCCTCCTGAGACCGTCTAACCGTGTCCTCTACCCCAACTCTGAACATTAAAACCCTTCCTTTCTCTTTCATAGGCTCCCACATCAGCCCAGGCAAAATTCATTTCTCCCTCCTGTTGAGCTTCCATCTACACCTCACATCTGCAACTCTACTGAACATCTGTGACATGCCTTTGTTGTATAGTTATTTATAGAAGCTGACATTTGGGTGTCATCTGGTCTAGTCCCCTCAGAAAGTAAAAATATTGGGTAAACTGCTCATGCTCACATGTTAAGTGAGCAGAGTAGGCACAATAATCCAGATTTTAGGTAAATCTGATCCTCAGAAGGAGAGACTATATTAGTATCCTTATTATGGATAAAAAACACGAGGCTGAGAAGCTGAGTAACTTGTCATGAGCTCCTGGTTGGTATGTTCAGGACTCTGCTTCCATCAGGTTCCCCCATTACCCGGGGCCCATCTGTCTTCGCTAGAGGGCCAGGGCTATTTCTGGTTATTCTTAGATTTCTTCAGAGATCACAGTGCCTGGCACACAGCAGGTGCTCAGTCAAGACCTGTTTCGTTGAAGTGAGCCAGAGTCTTGCAAACAACTCCTAGGCATCTATTATGGGCAGCACCCTGCCCCATCAACCCCATTACAATACTGCAGTATGACATTTAAGACTTTCTAAAACCTGCCTTCTGGGTGTTAGACTTTCTCTCCCATAATTTCCCCAATGGACCTCTCAGGTTTCGCTTGGTCAATGTCCCTCTGCAGCTGCTGGCCACCCCTCCCCATCCTGTTCCTGCACCCTCAGTGGACGCACCTGGAAGGCCAGCCTCACCCCTCCATGAAACTCTCTCTGCCCTCCAGACCACTCAAAGTGATTTCTCCTCCTCAACAACTACAGCATATAGGAGTTCTCTGTAAATCTGGATCTTGGATTTTGAGAGGACATTTTATTCTTTATCCAGCCTCCCATCCCAGGAGCCAATCAGCACTCACATTCGTGGTCGAAAGGCAAAGGCCCGGAAGGCTGTCCCCCAGTGGGGGCTGATTTCTTTCTACCCCTAACCTCTCAGAAGGTGACTGGCCAAATAGCATCTCCAGACTCCAGTCAGCCCTGCAGAGCAGCTGCCGTCTGACAAAGGGAAAAAGGAACGCTCCCAGGCTCACTCACGGAATTGGAAGAGATAGCCAGCCCCTCAGCCCAGAAGAGGAAGACAGACTTCTGGTCTGAAGTGACGGCTGATGTGGCTGGCGCTTCCTTCATGTGACATGGGATGCTGTAACTCCAAGTCACGAAGCCAGACTCACCATCCACCACCATCATCTGCAAAAGAAAAGACAGAGAGTGCGCATGGCCAATCCTTGGAAAAGCAGTAGCCAAGAAAACATACAGAAACAAAAAACAAGACAACCCACAGGTGTTCAAATAACACCTAACGTAACAGGCTGAGCTGCTGAGATGCAGGCGCGTGCAGAGCTCGGAACGACGTCTAGGGACCAGGACGTGAGCTTCTGCAGCCCATTCCCATCTAGCAGGGCTTACAGAACTAGAGAATTCTCAAATGGGAAGGGGACATGACAAATCATCTAGTCCCCCTCATTTGACAAATGAGGAAAGGAGGTGCAGAGACAGGAAGTGACGCTTTGTCCATGGTTAGGACGGTCCTCAGACAGTCAGAGCAGCCACTCCCCAGATGCCAAGTATCATCCCTCATCCCTCCCACTGCGACCACACTTTGGAAACAATGAAAACGTGAACTCATGCACTGCTGGTGCATCCTCTTCAGAGCTTCAAGGATTTGACTCCCCATGTCATGGCACATGTAATTCATCCCTGGGTAGTCTCACATTTAAAGGAGCAATTTAAACAAGCAGAGAAAGAAAAGGAACTGTGTTCCTTAGCTGCATCTCTCAAAGGATAATCAGGGGATCGTATGCATAAGCCCCAGAAGCGCTTAGACCTGCTCCCCACCCCAAACATCTCCTACCTCACAGGCCTGGGCCTCTCATTAGCCAAAATCCTGAGGAAGCTTGCCCCAGCCCCACCTTCCTCCCTCTCCCTCGGTGCCTCTGTGCTTCTGTGAGTGGAAGACCTAACCTCTTTGGACAGTCACATGCCCTGTGCTTTTAGTAAACTGATCCCTGCCCTGCCCCACCCTTGCTCAAACTCCACATCACAAAAGGTCCTGGAATCAACTTGGCAGAGACAAATTCCTCTAAACCAGCAGAAAGGAAAAAACAGACTAGAAATTTAAGATTCCTTTTCTTTTTTTCTTTTTGAGACAGAGTCTCATTCTGTAGCCCTCTGGATTGCCATGGCATCATAGCTCATAGCAACCTCAAACTCTTGGACTCAAGCAACTCTCTTGCCTTAGCCTCCCGAGTAGCTGGGACTATAGGTGCCTGCCAGAATGCCTGGCTACTTTTAGAGACAAGTTCTTGCTCTGCTCAGGCTAGTCTCAAACTCATGAGTGAACTCAGGTAATCCACCTTCCTTGGCCTCCCAGACTGCTAAGATTATAAGCATGAGCCATCTCACCCAGAGATTCCTGAGCCCTTTCTCCCTTTTATAGTCTTGGGGAGAAAAGAAATTTGGGGCCACTCCACTAAATGCTTTGATCTAGTCACACACATTATTTCATGTAACTGTCACAATAACCTGATGAAGACAGGAGGTATTTTATTTGTGTTTTATAAATTCAGAAACTGCAACTAGGCGAGATTACATGATTTGCCCAAGGCCACCGAGAAGGAGTGGTGCCAGGTAAAACCCAGGGCTGAAACTCTCGGCACTGCAGTTCTTAACCAACCTACTACACACCTCTCTCCCGTCATCCTCCCCGGTACGCCAGTGAAAATTCCAATTTGTTGCTGAGATTCCTTTGAATTACAAGCAGACATGGCTTCTTTCCTGCATAGCACTGTGGGAAGACTCTTCCTGAAGTGATATTTGGATCGCTGCATCTGTCCTTTCTGCCCATGACCAAATAACCCTACTGCCTTCAACACCTCATGCAAGTGCTGTGGCCTTTTTTTTCGGGCCTTCTGTAAGCTGACCTCATTCAGATCTCTCTGGCTGGAGTGCAGCTCAGCCCACCCTCATCCATTCAGCAAACCTCTTCTCTGCTCTCAGGATTCTGTACACACAACCCCCTAGGCAAATGGAAGCATCTCTCCACTCCCTGGACCTGCAGCTTGCCCATGCTCCCAAGGGCCCAAACCTCCACAACAGCGCTTTCCGTGATGTGGTAGAGCTACACGGCCTGGGTGCCCCAGGAGAGCAGGACCACGCACGAGCAGAGGCCCCATCCTCATTAACTTTGAGTCTCCAGCATCTAGCACAGACCCTGGCACATACAGAGATGAAGATGAAATGCATGTTGAATTCTTTTTCTCTCTCAGAGAACAGTAAGCAATGTATTAATATATATTTCACGGTGAAGATAAACCAAAAAGCTTGGATAATTTTTAAAGAGATGTTTAAAACTCTGTAATTCTGCCTGTAACGTTAAAGGAATGTAAACTGTCAAGCCAATCAGAAAAAATCAGAAAGATCAACGGGGTGTCCTTGAAACTGGCCATAACATTTCTCTCTCTGGGCTTCTGGTGTTGGTGTTCCTGACCTGGCATGCCTTCCTGTCCACATAAATACAATTCAACCTTAAAAGCTCTGCTCATATATTCCTCCTTTATAAAGTCTCCCATAATAACCCAGCTACCATGGATAGATACCTTGTCATCTTAGGTGTTTATGTACATGGAAAATTAAATGTATTTATACCTGCCTTTCCCCACCAAGAGATTTCAGAAGGCTTCTCCTACCTCACTGTAAGCTGGAGATCCAGAAGAAGGAACTCCTGTACAGGAAGAATATTACCCTAGAAATGCTTCCAGTACCATAAACTGTGGCACTGAATTGTGGATTTTCATTGTGTCTCTTAATCTAGTCTTTGAGGTTCTTTTAACTGCTCACAGTGCCTAGCACAGGACTGGACACAAAGTACACTTTACACATTTTGATTGACTTGAGTCCCCAAATTGTACCTTTTTCATCCCAACTCCATCATCCTGTATCTGCAGAAGAAAGTCCAGTGTGTGATCATCAGTGAAATACCCAGGAGTAGGCTGGCTGCAATTAAGGACAAAGCAAGCGTGAATGAGAAGAACAGGACTGGGGGCTCTTTCTCTCCGTCTTGTTGCGTCAACCCCAGATGTCAAGCAATTGTTTCAGGCAGTTTTTACACGTGGAAAAGTGGGTTGAACAGCAAACATGAGAAGGGGTGCTGCAAACCTGCTCAGGCCTTGAAGGCTCAGTGTCCAGTGAGGTGTGAGATTTTGCCCCCGAAGCAGGACGAGGCCTTGTCTGGTAGTAATCAGAAGGTTGCTGCAGTTGGAATCTGGGGCCTTCACCATCTGGAGCAGGTCAACACCGTCACTGAATTAAACAAGACCCCAACAGTTAGTGTCTGGCTCAGAAGAGATTCCCCAGCCCTTTACTCTCAGCGTACACACATTTGTACATCCTCTTATAGTCTCATAGGGATTCTCTGTTATTCCAATTGAACTTTATTTTCTCAAGCCTTAGAAACAAAAGATCCCTAGGAAACTGCACGGAAGTTCAAAAGAAACTCAGAGGCAAAGTGCTACAGTGTAATAGCCTCACCCTGGATGCTCTGAGAAAGGTAACAGAGTCAAGGACAATGGCAAGGAGAATAGAGATTTGGACAGAAGGCCTGAAATTGTCAATGAGCTATACAACAAGCCATGGCATGTGCCTCATGGAATTATTTCTTTCTCTGTAACACTGGGACCATTCTATCTAATGCCTGCCACATTCACCAAAACAACATGATGCTGCCTAAGAAAATGACTTGAACCTTCTGATAGAAAAGAACAAAACAATTAGGGTGGCATCTGTGGCTCAAAGGGTAGGGTGCTGGCCCCATATGCTGGAGGTGGCAGGTTCAAACCCAGCTCCGGCCAAAAAAAAAAAAAAAAGAACAAAACAATTATTACCCAGGCTTGCAGTTAAATGGGTAAAACCCACTACATGTGACCAAACCACATGCTTTTAGTTAAGAAGCAAGAATCAAAAATAAGAGTTCATGAAAGCAGTACTTGCTTCTATCAATATGATGCTTCACCTAAGAGAAAAATACAGGGAAAGGTCAGATCCTTCAGCGAAGTCCCACAAACAGTTAAGTAAAGCTAGCTCCCTCGTCACTTGGACTAGGGACTCTACACCAACATCTTTCCTTATAACCCAAGTGTGATGTGATTCCACATCATGGTCTCCAAAACACAGATATCAACACATTATGGTACCAAAAGAAGAAACTTCTCACTCATGTGAACCAGACCAGACCTCTGCCCACATGTCCACCAGCCCCACCAAACAAAAAGGCTCCAAGGCACATGAGTTTACAGGAGACCTCACTGTGACCAAGGACACACGTCTGCCCTACCTGTACACGTCAATGAACTCAGACAGGTTGATAGATCTTCGCTTCTCCCACTCTGGCTCTTCAATCTGCAGAGAAGGTGGTGAGCTGTCTCGATTTTGGGCCTGAACAAAAATGTCCCGCAGGGCGACAGCTTGTATATTTCCTAACACCACAGGAAGAACCAACACTGAGAAGTTGAATTTAATAAACTATCCTAGGGTGAGGATCTGAGTAGGAGACACAGGGTCTGAGCATCTGAGTCCAGTGGAGCCCACCCAGACTGGTTCAACGTGGAATGTGTGGGGCAGTGATGAAGTGGGTGCTGGACAAAGAGTCTTCTCACAAGGGAAAGCAGATTAACAAGCTGCAATAGGTGGGGGTGAGTGAGAGGCCTGCAGTCGGGGGCTTTGAAAGGGCTTTTGTCAGCAATTCCAGCACCATCACCCCGTCTCACCAGGGAGGCTTACTCACACGCACCAGAGGGGAATAGTATGAAAACCAGCCTTGCTTCTTACCAAAGCCAAACAGGATGTAGACAGCCCCATTTGTGGTGATGTAAACCTGAGGGCCAATCAGATTCCCAACTCCCACGATGTTGTACTTCACGAGTCGGCCCACTGGGCTTCCTGTCCGGCCAGACACCAGCAGAAAGCAGAGATCTGCCTGTAGAAGTCAAAGAAAAGAGTACAGTTGATAGAAGCCCTCTTGTGCCTAAGTCACATGGCTCCTTCACAAAGCTCCTAGTTTTTCTCATTAGCTACAGGTTCTGAAACAGCCAAAAGTTGGAAAGCACAAAGCCAAACCTGCTTTGCTTTATTTCCTGAGAAGTAAGAAAGTGAGGGAAATATCCTATTCTCTTACTAAATACATGCAAAGGGCCTCTTCCATGGTACCTCAATTTCTCTGAAAAGTACAACTGCTGATGACTGAAGAGTGTCCTGGGGAACAGAATCCCTATCTACAGCTAAATGCAGGATGGTTTTACAGGAGTCTTTACTCCCATGCCCAGAAATCCTCAGTAATATTTGGTCCCAGCTACAATCAATCCAGGCAGTGCTCTCCCATCAGAGCATCCGATCATCAAATGTCTGGCCAGGCCACTACCAACTTTACTCTCAAAGAAGGGCAAGCTTTTTCCATCAAGGGCCAGATATATTTTAGGCTCTGATGGGCAGATGATCACTGTAGTGATTACTCTACTCTCCCATTCTAGTGTGAAAGTAGTTGTCACAGACAATACAGAAATGAACAGATGTGACTGTGTTTCAATAAAACTTTATAAAAACAAGCAGTGGGCCAACTTTGGCCTACTGGCCATTGTTGGCCAACCACAGCTCTGGAGGATTTTCTTTTGGGATATAGACACCAGTTGAGAAACACGGGGATGGTATCTATATCTTAACTTTGACAAAGTTTATCATCAGAATTCTATGACAAGATCAAAGAAATGTGGTTTGCAGTATGCCCAGATAAAGAAATTTTACAGAGTTAATACAACCTAGAGGGAGGTTTTTAGTAGAACATCACAGTACTCTGCTATTACCCCATTCCTTTTTTGTTTGTTTGTTTTAGAGACAGTGTCTCACTTTGTCGCCCTCGGTGGAGTGCTGTGGCATCACAGCTCACAGCAACCTCCAGTTCTTGGGCTTAGGCAATCCTCTTAGCCTCCTGAGTAGCTGGGACCACAGGCACCTGCCACAAGGCCCAGCTATTTTTTTGTTGCAGTTTGGCCAGGGCCAGGTTTGAACCTGCCACCCTGGGTATATGGGGCTGGCCCTTACTCACTGAGTCACAGGTGCTGCCCTATTACCCCATTCCTATTAAACATTCTTATTAAAGACTTGAATAAATAGAACTCAAGTTTATCATAAAGCTGAGAGGAATAGCTAAAATGGTATATGACAAACTCAAAATTCACAAAGGCCCTGGGCTGGAAGACGAGTCAAAATCTGCCAGAAGAAATTGGTCTATAATTGATTAACCAGGGCAGCGCCTCTGGCTCAGTGAGTAGGGCGCCGGCCCCATATACCGAGGGGGGCAGTTTCTAACCCAGCCCTGGCCAAATTGCAACAAAAAAATAGCCAGGCGTTCTGGCAGGCGCCTGTGGTCCCAGCCACGGCACTCTACCGAGGGCGACAAAATAAGACTCTGTCTCTTAAAAAAAAAAAAAAATTTCAAAAAAATAATAATAATTGATTAACTAAAAGATATAGTTGTTACCTAACTAATTACCAACAAAAAGCAAATTTTAGAAAGGCTATTGAGGCCAGGCACAGTGACCCACATCTGTAATCCTAGCACTCTGGAAGGCTGAGGAGGAGGATTGCCTGAACTCACTTAGGGGTTGAAGACCAGCCTGAGCAACAGTGAGACCCCGTCTCTAAAAATGGCCGGGCATTATGCCAGGCACCTGTAGTCCCAGCTACAAAGGAGGCTGAGGCAAGATAATCACTTGAGCTCAAGAGTTTGAGGCTACTGTGAGCTGTGACACCACGGTACTCTATCGAGGATGACAAAGTAAGACTCTGTCACAAAAAAAAAAACAAATAAAAAAGGGCTTTTGAAATCTCAGTAGAGTCTCCATCAAAGGGAGTAACAATTTCCTGGGGTTGATATAAATGGTTAGACTATGAATAAAATACTGTTTTTATGTATGGGTACTACATTTTAAAAGAGTCTTGGACACACTGGAGTATAAGGGGAGAGAAATGAAGAAAAAGAGGGGTTTGGACTTCCTATTATTGCATGGGAAACAGAAGAAACTGGGGTGTTTAGCCTTGAAAGTAGCAGGGTTAAAGGAGTCAGGCTAATGGCTGATGGGCTTTCATTCAGAAAGGAGATTAGACTCATTCAGAGTAGCTCTACGGGACTAAAGCTGGAACAATGAATGGGAGCTGCGAGAAGCAGATTTCTCATCAACAGGACAGAATGCTCTAGAGCTGACCAAACCTGAATGGACCGTCTCCCAAATCAGTGATATTGCCATAGGCCTGAGGCCTCCAGGAGAATACAGCAGCCAATATGTCTGCAGTGCTGAATCGGAGATCACAGCATGGTAGGAGAAGGTTAACCATGTGACTTAGCGTCCCTTCCACTAATATTCTAGACCAGATCAGTTCCTCTAATCTGAAATAGGTTCAGTTCTCCAAACCGACCTCACTCTAAACCCTGATCTAAGAATGCAATCACTTACATCATAGAATGTATACATTTCCTTCCTTGTGAAGAGAGAGCCCCCCATCTCAGGAGCTTAAACAAATTCCTTGGTTCTTTGTTGCTGGTACTGAGGTCAAAGGAGGTCAGCAGAAAGACTGAAGCTGCTGCTATGTACCCACTGCCTCTCCGAGATCATCCTAGAACTATCAATCACTTTTCAGACAGAATGGAGAGTATTTCATGCCTCTGGCCCACTGTGCAAATGAATAAATTCTATGGGACAAGATGAACGATGTACTGGGTGAGACACCCCCCCCCACACACACACACAATATGGGCACAGAAGAAGAGTAGGCCAGAAGCCAAGTCCCCTAACAGAGCCCTCCTTACTACGGAGGGTCCCTAAGGGGCTGAACCACTATCCCATAACCACCACCAGCTTACGGGAAGCCAGACGGGGCATAAGACCAAAATTCTTGAATTTGTTCAAGATATATAAAGGTATTATTTATTCAATACCCCAGCCCACTGCAATTCCACTAAAAAGAAACTCTCCAAACTTTCCCCTTGGGACCTTCAGACAATCAACTCCCTGTTAGAGGTAATAACTAGAATTATCCCTGGTCCCTAGTCCCTTTATTTACAATAGCTGGGATTAAAAAAAAAAATGAGATGGATAATTCCTGAATTCTTGGCTCAGCTCCTGTGGCTCAAGTGGCTAAGGCGCCAGCCACATACACCAAAGGTGGCGGGTTTGAATCCAGCCTGGGCCCACCAAACAACAATGACGGCTGTAACCAAAAAAAATAGCCGGGCGCTGTGGTGGGTACCTGTAGTCCCAGCTACTTGGGAGGCTGAGGCAGGAGACTCACTTAAGCCCAGGAGTTGGAGGTTGCTGTGAGCTGTGATGCCACAGCACTCTACCCAGGGGGACAGCTTGAGGCTCTGTCTCAAAAAAAAAAAAAAAAAAAGACAATTCCGTTTATCAATTTATTCTTTCCTGTGATTTAGGAAGAGTAAAGACTTCTCTTATTTTATCTGTGTATAGAAGAACTAGCTCCAGTGTACTGAAGTTCCAGCAAAGTGTAATTCAGGACCATGATTCAAAGGTCACTATCCTGGAATCAGCATCTGGCTTGGCACAGGCCAGATCACAACCCTCCTTTCTTTGCTCACTGTTGTTATCATTTGACTTTGATTTTATTCTATGTACACTCTATCTTTAGAACTTGTAAGCTATCTATCAGTCTGTCCTCCTGTCTTATAATGGAAATAAAATTTAAATATATATATATATATATATATATATAAATACAATAAAACTAACAACACATATACCTTGTAAAAAACAGGCATCATTCTAGGCACTTTAAATACATTAGCTCTGATTTGCATAACAATCCTACAAGGAGATATAATATTCCCACTTTACATATGGAAAAAACAGACCTCAAATAGGCTCTGTGGCGTGCCACAAATTCTACAAAGCTATCAGGGAGTTCACACACAAACCTGTCTGGCCACAGAGCACCTTACACCACAGCACATGGAACCAGAATGACTGCTGGGAAAAATGGATTCATAATGGTCACTTACTCACTTACTCTCACAAAGAGAATTTACTTAAACGTAAGCCCTTGTAAAAAGAAAGTTTAAAGCAGCCATTTATGATAATAACACTAGGAACTAGCTAGGTGCCTATAGCTCAAGCAGCTAAGGCGCCAGCCACATACACTAGAGCTAGCGGGTTCGAATCCAGCCGGGGCCCACCAAACAACAAAGACAACTACAACCAAAAAATAGCTGGGCACTGCGGCAGGCGCCTGTAATCCCAGCTCCTTGGGAGGCTGAGGCAAGAGAATCGCTTGAGCCTAGGAGTTGGAGGTTGCTGTGAGCTGTGCCACCACAGCACTCTATCCAGGATGACAGCTTGAGGCTCTATCTTAAAAAAATAATAATAATTTTTAAAAAATAACACTAGGAACTGAGATAAAAATAATAATAATAATTTTTAAAAAATAACACTAGGAACTGAGATAACTAAAATTGAAGCATTCTCTATAACAACAACAACAACAACAACAACGAAACATTTAACAGAGATCATACCTGCAAGCCCCCAATGGCCAGAACCATAAGATCTCTGACGCCATCTTCATCCACATCTGGCAGCACCACGACCGGGGCAGCCAAGGTACCGTTGGACAAGTAGTCTGCACCTAAAGTCCAAATGGCTTTGCCTAGGGAAGGACAAGCAAGGTCAACACTACCACACTGGAAAAGGGAGATGAGATGCTCCCAGGTCAACAAAGAGAAACACAATGCTGTCTCAACAGCAGACAGCACCTCCTATTTACTTTATTCCTTTCAAGTTTAGTTTATTGAGGAGGAAAGGAGCAGACTGTGATCGAAAATCCTCAGCTATCTGGTTGAACAAACCCACGTACTAACTTCACACCTAGATTTCTTACGCAAAATAGAAGCGCCAAAGTCTCTCAAAAAAAGAAAATCTCACTTGTGTGGGGTGGAAGAATTGACCTGTGAGGGGTTATCACAACTATTTAGGAACCAGCTGGGGCCAGCTGACCAGAAGACCCCCCTCTCCTTCCTTCTCGAACGTGTTCACAGAAACTGTAGGAGGTTTTCTCAAGATGACTTCAGTTCCACAGTTTACCTGCATCCTAATTTTTTACCGTTCAGAACTACTCCGCTATCAAACTCCAACCTTTCATCCTGGGAAGGATGTTATTTACTCAGTTCGACTTGAGCCCATGGAAGGTGGCACCAACCACAGTGGCAGTAAACTTAAGATTCTGTAAGAAGCCTTTGTTATATTTCTTTTTCATTCCTTTAGGCACAAATGCCTGAATGCAATAAGAAGCTAAAAGGTCAAATCAAAAAGATTCAACACACCTTAATTTCTTCACTGTCACATTTTAAAGTAGTTAATGCCCAAGTCTAATGTACAGGGTGGCCATAAAGTTTGCATGCAATTTAAAATTGCACACTATTTTAAACTCCACATGAACTTTATGGCCACCCTGGACTGGGACTCAGGCATATTAAATAAGAGACAGAGCTCAATCATCTTTTGTACAAAGAACAGAGTCGGCGGACTATTCACAAACCCAAGGCCTCAGGGCAGTTTCTGTTTGGATAATGCAGTTTAGCTCCATACTATCACCATGCAGGTAGAACCACGGATTCAGTGACTCAATCTGTCGAAATCATTTCTCTCATTTCCCTTAATAACCGCCTTCAGAGAGCAATCAATCAGACTCTGTAGCAAGGTCCCCTCCCTTCCCCACTGGGTTGTTCTAATCCAGAATTATGGCTCACAGGAGCAAAGATCTCCCGAGGTCAGTGGTCTCTACCTGACGTGGCATTGAACGCGCTGAGCATCTTGTGAGCTCCTGTCACGAGGCAGACGGTTCCAGCCCAGCCTCCTGGCACCAGATCCAAACATGTGATATCTCGGGCCTCCTCAGGGAGGGGACTTGACCACAGCGTGCTGCCATTCATCCCCGAAAGGCACACAAGATTCGCAGTTGGTCTTGAGATACCTACAAAGGAAAGCAGGCAGAGGAGATAAGAGGCAGAGCTGAGCAGGAGGCCAGAAGCAAACGTGGATGGCGGTAAGGCAGCGACACACACTTGTGTACTCTGCTCCCTCCCACCTTTCTGGCAACAAGGGCTGAAAACATAGTGCTTGTCATTCCTGCTCAACACGCTTCTCAGGTGAGGCAAGAGCCGTGGCCTCCCTGACTGCCTCAAATACATCTCCACTCCTGCACCGTTCCTAACACTTCTGCTGACATGTCTGCCACCTCGGCCACACTAAATAGTGACACCCTTGAGGAGGAAGACTGTTACTAATCTCTGCATCCTCAGTGCCTCGCACAGTGTCTAGCACCTATAGCAACCAATTGTTTGCCTGAGAAAAAACAGGAGCAAAATCAAGAATATGAAAAAGTAGTTGTCACAAACAGAAAACAGCAGGTAAAGGTATACATAAGACTGATCTAGCAAATTTACAGAATAGGGAGCAAAACTACTGAACTCTACTCATCACTAGCAAATGCTCCCTAAGAGCATGAAATGGTATTTCTTAAAAATAACCTAAAGATTACATATGGCAATAATCAGGAGGTCTTGCTGATCCAGACTTCCACGGGCTGAGCTGATTTAGCTCCAGTCAGAAAAGGATACTTGGGAAGACTTAATACTAGGTCCAAGGACAGCTGGTGAGGGATGGGAACAGCCATCTCCACAGTAAATAAGCCTTTCCATCACTCGATTCACATCAGAACAACACTGTTCTCACTTGCCAGTTTCACATTCACTTTCAGGACAGGGACACTCCAGACATCTCACATACTTTCCATTTCCAGCAAGAACTAATGCAGAACAGGAATTGAAAGTTTAGAGCTTCCTTCTACCAACTCCTCAGTGTTACTGATTAAACAGACAACCTAAAATCAAGTGACAAACTGTGGCTCACCACTTCAGACTTTGTTGCCAGAAGTCGATACCTACGACCAACTGTGGCAACGCCGTTAATGTCCAGACTTCTCCAGGATGCTGTGGGGGATACCCTACACTGTTCTTTCTCCTCAAGGACCTGCCAACTCTGTATCAACGCTCAGACTCATTTTTCCTGGGTGGTGATGGGTTGACCCTTCCCCCACCAGACCACAACTCCCTGCAGCAGAAGCCACATCCCTCCTGCTCAGTCCTCCATGTATAACCAGCACGACTGGAGAAGGTGCACCGCACCTGCCATGCCGTGGGCATTCAATACAGTCATGGAAAGAACCGAGGAACAAGTGAACAAATCAAGACCTCAATCCCGGTATGGCCAGTGCCACAGAGCTGAGTGGATTACAGGCACAGAGTTTGGGATGAGGGTTAGGGATGTGAACTCCAGAGCCAGACTCCAAGTCTGAATCTAAGCTCTGCCATCTACCAGCTGCGGGGCCGTGGGCAGGTTCCTTAACTTGCGTGTCTCAGCTCCATCATCTGCTGAAGGGGGAAAATATTATCAGTCTACCTCATAGGATTGTATTCAGGGATAAATCAGTTCATATATGTGCGGTGCTTACAAGCCTACAGAGCACACAGAAAGCACCGTGTGTTCACTGAATTCTTATTCTTACAATGTGTGGCCAAATCAGGCTCGTCCCAGCTCACAGCCTTGCCATTATGTCTCGATATGTAGCAAACCACAGAAGATGCTACATGACTTAAAATATCTCTAAATCTAAAAGCGGACAGGGAAAATTTTTATTTCAAATGTTATAGGCCAGATACAATGTAATCAAGTTTCAATTACATGAAAATCTACTTCTAGGCTGGAGATTCTCTCCTTAACAGAACTCTGCCCAAATTGCTTACATATCTCACACCAGACTCAAAAACCCCCTGTGGACCTATGCTAAAAATGGAACACTTTTCTTTCTTTCTTTTTTCTTTTTTTCTTTTTGCGGTTGACATGTATAACAGGCAGGCTTTCAAAAACAGCACCCTCAATTAGGGAAAGTCATGGAAGATTTGAGAGAAAGAACATTTACAAAGATGTGGCCAGGGTGTAAGGCCATCACAAGCAAAAGAATAGTCCCTCACAACTGTTACTGCATCCAGGCCCAAGGAGATGAGGGGAGGAAGGAATCACTGGGATCCAGAAAAAGAAAGTCCCATAAGAGGGCCACCTTGAGATGAGCTATGACCCACAGTCAAGGGTGTAGCCACCCTACAAACGCTCCAGTGGGGAGGGAGCCAGAGGAATACATCTCTCTCCCCACGCTCTCTCTCCTCTCCAGTTCCTCACCTGTGCTGCCCGTGGGCCACAGGAGAGAGGGCTGGGACCTTCCCCACACAGGCCAGCCTCCCAAAGCAGATGGCAGGATAGAGGGCAGATGTGGGCGAGTAAACTGCAGGGGGAATAGAAGACCTCAGCCAAGAAGTGTGTGCAAGGAGGTGGACAAAACACATGGACAGAGGTTTTCTGCCACGAGTGGGTGGGCAGGACAGAGTCAACATTCATTATAATCTAAGAGGCGTGGGAAACTGGGAGAAAACTCACAAAACCTAAGTACTAACAGCATTCTCTACAGATGTGGGCAAGCCACTTCCTCTCTGGATCCCAGTCTCTTCACTGGGCTCGGTGACCACTAAAACTTCCTTTGAGGTACAACTCTGATTTCTTGGAGTGGGCTTTATTTACATGCAGGAATTTCTGGTCAAGCTTCTCATGTATGACAGATCTGTGGTAACGTACTGTTCACTGCAGAACCTCTGCAGTACCCCTCAGGAGACACCTCTGATGCTTTCTCCTAACTCAGGGTCCCCCCGCCCCCAGCAGCCTTGAAAAGACACATCTCTTACCTACTGTGCTCTCGTTCCATGACGTCACAAAGGAGAGAAGCACATCTCGCAGGCCATCTCCATTCACATCAGCCAGTTCCAAAGGAGACAGGTCCCCACCTGATAGACACATTAGAAAACCAAAAAAGGTCCTGAGCAAGTTACCACAAACCAATTTTCTGCTGTCAGTACCTCCACAGAAATTGGGCAGACTTCCTGTTCCTCAACAAGATGAAGTTGACACGCTTCTCCTTATCCCTCCCTCCAAGTATAGCCAGTTCCCGAGTTCCAAACATCTGACTACATACACCTCGCAATTATGAACACAGGCTATTACAGTTAAGTCCCTACGTTACAACATCTAACTGATATATAACTCACATGAATGGGAGCTATTACAGGTAATAGGTAAAGGCACCTGTTCCAATTTACATGCAAATTCAGCATGAAAACAAACCTACGGACTTGGCACCCATCGTTCAGTGGTTAAGGCGCTGGCCACATACACCAGTGCTGGTGGGTTTGAACCCAGCCATGGCAACAACAACAAAAATAGCCATGCTTTGTGGTAGGTGCCTGTAGTCCCAGCTACTTGGGAGGCTGAGACAAGAGAATCACTTAAGCCCAAGAGTTTGAGGTTGCTGTGAGCTGTGAAGCCACGGTACTCTACCAAGGGCAACATAGTGAGACTCTGTCTCAAAAAAAGAAAAAAGAAAGGAAAACAAACCTATAGGCTGGGTGCAGTGGCCCACTACAATCCTAGCACTCTGGGAGGCAAGTGGATTGCTTGAGCTCAGGAGTTCAAGACCATTGTGAGCAAAAACGAGACACCCCCCCCACCTCATCTCTACTAAAATTAGAAAAATTAGGCAGGAGTGGTGGGTGCCTGTACTCCTAGCTACTCAGGAGTCTGAGGCAGGAAGATCTCTTGAGCTCAGAATTTGAAGCTGCTGTGAACTATGATTATGCCATGGCACTCTAGCCTGGGCAACAAAGTAACTCTGTCTTGGGAAAAAAAAAAAAAAAGAATAGAAACAAACCTACAGAACCTATCTCACTCATAACTGAAGGACTGCGTATACATCTAAAAACCTTCAACAAATGTAAGACAACTCTGAAAGGTGGAGAGAGCTGCTAGGGACTGTAAGACCCACAAAATGACAAGGTGGTTAAGTCCCCGGGTTTTCTATTGGCTGCTAAAAAAGCCAGCAACAGCAACCCAGAAGCACCACAGGCACAGACAAAAGAGCCCCCCCAAAACGCTGGCTTCCGTAGCCAAAGGCCCAGGAAAGGTGCACCCTAGCAAGACAGAAAAGTTTTAGATAGTAGCTGCTCTACTCCAACTAAATGCTGCAGATAAAACTACAGCCCCAACCCACCCCTAACCCACAACAAGGCTGAATGGAGAGTCTGGATTTCCACCCTCTCCTGGCTATAACAAGGCATTCCCACCACCACATCAGAGAAGGCTAGGCAGGGGCCAGAAGTGTCACCCCCACTTAACAGGACCAAGCCCTCCTCCCCACCAGGGTGGGATCAGTAGGGACCAGGTGGGGGGCCTGGACTTCCATCTCCCATTCCCTCAATAGCGTGGAGTCAGAGGATACCCACCATATTTGGGGAGAACTCACACATCGCTACTGGAAGTATAAATTGGTACAACTACTTTGAAGAATAATTTAACATAAACTACTAAGAATGAACATGTACACACTCTATGATCCAGCAATTTTACTCCTAGGTTTATGCCTTAGAGAAATTCTTAAACACTGCATCAGGACATATGTAAAAAAATGTTCTTAGCAGCACCATTTGAAAAAAATGAAAAGAATGGAAGCCACTTAAATGTTTACCAACAGTAAAATGGATAAATGACATATAGGATATTCATACTATGAAAAATTAGGCAGTAGTGAAAATGAATTAACTCTAGCTACATGCACCAATGTAGATGAACCTCAAAAATTTTTTCAAAAAATTAGGTTAAACAAAAAAGCAAGTCACAGAAGACTGCATGATTACATTTATGTAAATTCAAAACCTAGCAAAATTAATGAATATATAGTTTAGGGGTATGTATCAATGCAGTAAAACTGTAAAGAGAAGTAAAGAAATAATTAACACATAATTCAGGATCATCTGTGTGATCATCCTTTGATAGCTGAAGAGGGACACACAAGAGATTACAAAGGTCTCAGTAAATTCCATTTCTTTTTTTTTTTTTTGAGACAGAGCCTCAAGCTGTCACCCTGGGTAGAGTACCGTGGCATCACAGCTCACAGCAACCTCCAACTCCTGGACTCAAGCGATTCTCCTGCCTCTGCCTCCCAAGTAGCTGGGACTACAGGTGCCTGCCAAAATGCCTGGCTATTTTTTTGGTGGCAGCCATCATTGTTGTTTGGCAGGCCGGGGCTGGATTCTAACCCGCCAGCTCAGGTATATGTGGCTGGCACCTTAGCCACTTGAGCCACAGGTGCTGAGCCAGCATTCCGTTTCTTAAAGTGGGTGGTAGATACATCAACAATTTTGTTACTAACCTTTACATTGTATAGAAACATTACATATGTAAATTAAATTTGCCTTAAGAGAAACTATAGATGACAGCATAACTGGGATTGGAAAAGTGGTGCGTTTAAACATTTCTAGGTCACAATGATACCAGGCGTCCGAGGACAGCCTGATGAGTTTACAAGAGACAGGGCTACTCAGCACAGGTGAGCTATCACTTCCATTTCAGAGCAAGTGGTTCTGAAGAAATCTGTTCCAAAGGCAACAGAATAGCTGGAATTACTCAGGCAGCACCACCACTCTGTCCATTAGGAACAAGACGGCAACTATATTTTACATGAAACAAAATTATTTTAAAATGTAAATTAGGTCAGGCCTCTATTACCAACAAATGCCTCAGGGTCCCTACAAGAGCCCAGTGCCTGGTGCTGCCAGGCCTAGAGCCTTGCTATTCTCAGGAAACAGCCCTTTCGGCAGCTTTGCTCTCTTCTCCCTGATAAGAGCTGGCTCCACGGCAGGAACCCAGCAGCCCAATGCCCTGTCCTCTGTGGGTCTATTGAAGACCAATGCACAGATACAACAGGCAGTGATTCCCAAGTTTCTGGAGGGTTCTCACTCCTTTTTGTTTTACCTCAAATCAGGGTGGTGCCTGTGGCTCAAAGGAGTAGAGCACTGGCCCCACATGCTGTAGGTGGTGGGTTCAAACCCAGCCCCGGCCAAAAACTCCAAAAAAATATCGTAACCTCAAATCGTAACCTCCGGACCACTTCCACACATGGGGGAGGGGGGTGCTGCATGACACACAGTAGTTCCTTTGAAGGAAAATGTCACCCTAATACACTGTGAAGTTTTACAGAAATCAGGGCTGTAAACCTGCCACTCACCTCCCTGGGAGCCCAGCTGGCGGCTCCAGGTGCTGTGCAGATCTCTGGGAGGGCAAGGGATGAGGAAAGCACACAGGAGCACCAGGATCATGGAGATGCCCAGGGTCAACAGGAAGACAGATGTGCGCACGTAGGACACCAGGGAAGAGGCTGCCTTCTGCTCCAGGCCTCCCAGGGGCTCTGAGGGGAAGCCCTCGGGGGTGACTTCTGTGAGGTGTGGCTTTGCAGCCCCTGCAGCCTCGGCATCTGAGTCAGGCTCCGGTGCTTCCTCCAGAGGGCTCTTCCCATTTTTGAGCCCTCCATTCTTCTGCTGCAGGTTGAGCACAAGATCATCTTCGCTCTCATCGCTGTCCGCCTGGGTGAGGGGGTCATACTCCCCTAGGTCTGGGCTCTTCTTCCCTGAAAAGACAGGAAGATAACACAGTCAAGGAGAACTAGGAAAGAGAAATCCTCCGCAAATACGTGGCCACTGTAAACACCTAGGAGAACACAGAGAATACAAAACTGAAAAAATCTACTTTACATCAAGTTTGGACCTTGATGGCGATATGTGAAACAGATGGCCAGCAAAGGGGGGCGGGGAAGAAAAGCACAGTGCTCCAGGATTACTGCCCTCTTGAGTTCAAGAAAATGGAAAAGGAGAAATTAAAAATAGCAAATACCTTTTTTTAGTTTAAAAAAAAAAAAAGCTCTCTTGTTTGAATCTCACTAATGAAAAAGAGCATGGCTGCTTATCAACTTTTCACATGCCTAGCATGAACACTGCCTCAGAGTTTCTCAGATGGGTGATGTCCTAATCTTTCCTGGTAAACTTTGAGAATAATTCACTGTACCCTGCTTCTTACAGCCCAAAATTTATGGCTTCCCAATTGTTTCTATGGAAACAACTTAGAGATCTGGACACGAACCATCATCTGGTGATGTACTACACACAATCTCACTTCTGAGAACCGTCCTGGGATTTGAATGCCCTTTCAGTACATCTTTCTGTAAACAGTGTTTACCTCTAAAACTGCTGTTCTGAGCAAGTATTCTGGGAAGGGTGGCAATCTAGCAAGAATGTAGAAGGGGAGGACTTGTCTTGAAGCTACTTTGCACAGCAAGCACCCTATTTTTACTTAGATTGTAACATTGATTTGGGGAGGCTGAAAGGTAGAAATTACAGCAGGGCCTACGTATACCTCCTTCCTGCCAGTGAGTGAATGATTTTATGCCAAGAAAACCAAGAAAAAGTTTTTCTTTTTTTTTTTTAAATTATTGGGTAGGCTGTTACTAACGTAAACTACATTATTAAATCTTTTGTTCAGAAGAAATGTAAAAAGAAAACATAATCCAGATAATTAAAAAGGGAAAAAGAAGAATTCTCAATGCTAATCTGTGCCTGTAGGTCATTACAGTCTCGGTGATACCTTGGTAGTAGCATTTCATACATTAAGTCTTGGTTTGCTCAATTCAGGAAATGAAGCAATGAAACGCTATATGGAGACCAGATATGGGAAGTAAAATCTTTAAAGATTAGTATTTGGTACAGAGAAAAATCAATAAAAGTTTGATTTAAAACGTGAGCATATAGGAGATAAGCACCCCTTGCTCAGACATGGCAGTTTGTGTCAATGTGCTCCCCCAGGAGATTGATTCTGAGAAACATTTCTTTGAAGATCAAGCTTCTGTACCTGCCTATAGATATGCAGAAATATGCAGAAAGGTCTCTCTAAAAGAAATTGTTGAGAATCAGCCAGGGTCGCAGCTGGGGGTGAACATACCGGTCTTCGAGCATTGGGTCCTGTTCTCTGTCTTCCTCCTTCATTAACATCATAATCTCTAGTTTCGATTTGGGCTAGCAAGGACAGACAGCCAGTCTCTCTTATGTTTTTACTCTAAACAAAATCAATTGTACATAGTTTCCTCAACCTTCACACTGATTTGTAATCTTAAATGGTAGCTTCCTAATGTTACTTCACTTCTTTGTATATGTGTTAAATTCTTACTGACTGTTTGAAAGTATATAAGATAATCAGTAAAGTTTAGCCGGGCCGCCGACCAGAGCGAGTCTCGGCCTCCCTTTATCATTCCGTCTGCAGTTCCTTCTCCCTGCGTCTCCGATCAGAGGCTCCAAAGAACACACCATCATGAGCACTCATGGCTGGGAAAAATCAACACTGTTAAAATGTCTATACTTCCCAAAGCAATCTACAGATTCAATGCAATCCTCATTAAAATATCAACATCACACTTTCAAGATTTGGAAAAAAAAATTCTTCATTTTGTATGAAATCAGAAAGAAAAACATATAGCTAAGACAATTCTTAGTAATAAAAACAAAGCCGGAGGCATCAGCCTATCAGACTTTAGACTGATACTACAAGGCCAAAGTGATCAAAACAGCATGGTACTGCACAAAAATAGAGACATAGACATTTGGAACTGAGTAGAAAACTATGAGATGAAACTAACATGTTACAGTCACCTGATCTTTGATAAACCAAACAAGAACATACACTGGGGAAAAGAATCCCTATTCAATAAATGGTGCTGGGAAAACTGGATAACCACATGTAAAAGACTGAAACTGGACCCGCACCTTTCTCCACTCACAAAAATTGATTCAAGATGGATAAAGGATTTAAACCTAAGGGATGAAACCATAAAAATCCTTGAGGAAAGTGTGGGGAAAACACTTGAAGATATCAGCCTAGGAAAAGATTTTATGAAGAAGACTTCTGTGGCAAATGCAATAACAAAAAAAAATAAACAAATGGGACTTCATTAAACTGAACATCTTCTAAGCTAAAGAGATAACCAAAGCAAATAGACAATCTTCAGAATGTAAAAAGATATTTGCATGTTTTGAATCAGACAAAAGCTTGATAACTAGGATCTATAGAGAACTAAAATTATTCAACAAAAAAAGACACAACAATCCCATATATCACTGGGCAAGAGACACGAATAGAACCTTGTCTAAAGAAGACAGATGAATGGCTAACAAACACAAAAAAATGCTCATCATCCCAAATTATCAGAGAAATGCAAATCAAAACCACCCTGAGATATCACCTAACCCCAGTTAGAATGGCTCACATCACAAAGTCTCAAAGCTGCAGATACTAGCATGGATGTAGAGAGAAGGGGCCAAAGTCCCACACTTTTACACTGCTGGTGGGACTGCAAGGAAGGAAGTATGGAGAATCCTCAAAGAACTTTAATTAGACCTCCCATTTGATCCTGCAATCCCATTACTGGGCATCTACCATAAGAAAAAAAAATTATTTTATCATAAGGACATCTGCACTAGACTGTTTATCACAGCTCAATTTACAATCACCAAAATGTGGAAACAACCTAAATGCTCACCAATCCAGGAATGGATTAACAAGCTGTGGCATATGTATACCATGGAATACTATTCAGAAATTACAAAGATGGAGACTTTACATCCTTCGTATTAACCTGGATTGAGTTGGAACACATTCTTCTTAATAAAGCATCACAAGAATGGAGAAGCAAGAATCCAATGTACTCAATTCTAATACGAAGGCAATAGATGACCTAATACATGGTGGAGGGTAGGGCAATGAGCAAGTGGGAAGGGGGGACAGGGGGAGGGCATCATACTATATGGTACACCTTTTGGAGGTGGGACACAATTATAAAAGGGAATTTACCTAACAAAATGCAATCAGTGTAACCTAATTCTTTGTACCCTCCCCAAACAATAAAATAATAATAATAATAGAGAAAAAAATTACTGGATGAAATGTAAAAATATAAATAAATAGTGAGTGTTACGTTACTTTTGAATATTAAGTACTTTCCAAAAAAAAAAAACACAGAAGGTATTGAGTAATCTTGGCATTCTAATAACTAGAAGTTTCTATCTACTTTCATTTTCAAAGTTGCTTACTGTGTTTAATAAATACTAGGTTACATTTATAAAGGCACAAATTGTCAAAAAAAAAATGTAAGTTCCCTTATTAGAAACTTACTTCAAAATAGTACTTCCAGAATGTACCATAGAGTCACTACAGGTCAGGCTAATCTACAGCTTCTATTTCTACTCTATGAACCAAATTATTTTACTAGTGAGAGCAGACCATTCCCTAACCATCCAAAATAATTTTATATATAACAGTTTGCAAACAGAGTCCTGGGTTGTTACAATAATATTAACTCTAATATTTTTTAACATGGTTTGCTTTGGGGGTTTTTTGGCTAAAATATACCCGATCATATACACAAAACGTGGTATACTCATACCATAGAATATTTTATTCAGCCCTAAAAAGGAAGGAAATTCTGACAGATGCTACAACATGGATGAACCTTGAGGACATTATGTTTAGTGAAATAAGCCAGTCACAGAAAGACAAATACTGTGTCTTATCTACAAATTCACAGAAACCGAAAATAGAATGGTGGCTGCCCCAGTTTGAAGGTAGAGAAAGGAGGAATTGCTACTTAATAAGTGCAGAGCTTCAGTTTTATACGATAAAAATTGTTCTGGAGATTTGTTACACAATGTGAATATACTTAATACTCAGTAGTACACTTAAAAATGATTAAGATGACCCAGGCATGATGGTTCATGCCTGTAATCCTAAGACTCTTTGAGGCTAAGGTGGGAGGATCACTCAAGGTCAGGAGTTCAAGATCAGCTTGAGCAACAGTGAGACCTCACCTCTACAAAAATAGAAAAATTAGCTGGCTATGGTAGCACACACCTCTAGTCCCAGCTACTTGTGAGGCTGAGGCAGAAGGATCACTTGAGCCAAGGACTTTAGGTTGCAATGAGCTAAGATCATGCACTCTAGCTGGGGCAGCAGATTAAGATGGTAAATACATGGTATGTATATTTTACCACAATTTTAATTTTTTCTAAAGAAAAGAATATACCCGACAAAGAAGAAAACTTAACACAGGCTCTCCAAATCCCAGAACTAGAAGAAACTTTAAAGACTACATAATCCACCCCCACCTCTATTCCAAATTTATAAACACCCACCAACTAGTCCCTTAGCACACAAAAGAACATAACCATTCTTAGGAAATCCCTGACCTCCAATCTAGAAAACTATTCTTTACACTGATTCAGGACTCTATTTCTGGGTAGCTGCCAATTATCTATCCTATCTTTAATTCCTGGGACTCTTCTTCCACACACAAGTCCGCTCAAGGTCATCAGTCATAAGAGACATATAATAAGGTATTTATTTATTATAAGATTATAAGATTATTATTATATGTCTCTTTATTATAAGAGACATATAATAAGGTATTTATTTATTATAAGACATATAATAAGGTATTTCAGAGGCCAGGGCTTCACAATGAGATAAACATCAAGTCAAATCTTAGCTCTATCTCCTATTAACTGAGACCTCTGACCCTCAATTTCCCTC